AAAAAAAGATCCTTCAACCTTGCTATGGTCGCCTTCTGAGGTCCTTTATACTCGAAGAATTACCTGTTTCGGCGTATCTTTCCTCTTATCCTGATTCATCTGATTACTAACAATCATTACCAGGAAGTGGGGTGAAGAGCCACTAATCTTCCCAAGTCCAAATATTTTGGGAACACTCGAGTTGACGTCTCCCATTCGAACATGTTGACTAGAAAGGAAGCCATTATTTTTCGGCTTGAGTCATGCGATAGATGATCAAGGGACTCTCGGGGGTAGGGTACATTCAGTGGGGCTGCTGCGTGGGTGGTTGAAAGCGGAACACTCCAAGGGATGCCCGTAATCAAGAAATTAAAACGAGGAGGGGCTAAGTGGGGTCGCTTGTAGAATGAAGCCTGCCTTTATTGGAAATGAGCAGGCGTTTCCGTTTTCCGCTTTCCGAGCGTACACACGGCTGGGATAAGATTATAATTTTATGAAGTTTTTTTTGGGTTCGTTGATAAAGTTCCTCCTTTTAATACTTGTGATAAACCTCGGGGATTGAATGGGATCTGTGATGATTTCCTTCTCGTTGGAGCTTGTGGGAGTTCAGCCTCAGCCGGGGAATTCCTCTGCCTCAGATTATCTATGACATGACAGGTGGTTGGCTTACTCTTCAGTCGCCTCAGGGAAGCGATTGAGTTTCAGTCGGTCTCAACGCACACGTTGTCAGTCGCATATTCGTTCTCCTGCCTGCCTATGGCACCTTCACCTTTGATCATTAAACTTTTTCAATTCACGTATACTAAAGTTTTATTCTAAAGTACACCTTCACTTCGTTTTTATTCATCACTAGGGTGTGGGCGCCCAAGTGATGAAAAGTTCATGGGCAATTCTCCCACGTGTTCACAAAGGCGGCTGATGACCGTATGACCGATCCCCCGTGTTGTATTGTATTTGAGCATGAGTTTGTCTCATTACAGGTGCCACCAAGGTCGCTAAGGTCGAACCTACCATCACACAAGATTGACGATCCGGGTACGGGCTGTCATCTTCGTCCATCAGCATTGGATTTTCCCTTTTTTTAATTTTAAAAAATGATTTTTTAGGGAAAAATCGTTCTCGAGATATGTGCATGCGTCTCGGATCACGAAATTCACCTGATCTGATCACACTTTCTGACTATTTCTTGATGGGACCCCATGGATATCGAGCTACCCTACCGGATGTCACCACAACAAGTGGGTTTACTTGCTTATTACTTATTAGTTTTCTTTCTTCCGTTAATTTTTGCTCTCATAATTGTTTTCAAGTTGCCCCCATATATATCTCCCGATTATCTGACGACCACTTATTTCTCGGCTCGGCTCAATGTGTTACCGAAGGGCTTCTCTTCACCGTTGGCTCGTTGATTGCCTGGATTATCTAGCATTAGTTGTTAATCTTCACAATTGCGACGCACCTCTTCCTTCGGCCATATTTCGTTCGTCGTCCGCCACATCTTCTTGTGTTTCTGAACGTCTACAAATAATTTTGAAACGTTGTAACTTTTCCAGCGACTGGTAATTCTCAGGAGTAACCTTTTTCTGAACAGCTACGGATTCATTGGCTTCAGATTTGCGAAATTTTCAGCTTCTTATAAGTTAGAAGGCTAT